GTTATATATATGGCAGTGTTGAGCTAGCAGAGGTGCTGGAAAGTCTCACAGCTGTTAGGCCAGACTTCTTACTAAGCTGTACCTGGGACTCCTCAAGGCTATCCCTTCCTGTGCTTTTGGCTTCTGCAACCCACAAAAGTCAAGGTGGAACCTTAGCACACCACTCATTTACACAGTATCGATTTTCAGAGGTTCCAGTGACTGCAGTAGCAAAAACTAAAAGGATCAGTAACTTGCTCATACTCATTCAGTCACTCCGTCTTACTTCCATCTTAGTTTAGGAAAGGAAACAACTAAACAATTATAAACCTACAGATGTGTGACATTTTTAAAAAACCTATATACATTTGAAAAAAAATCCAAAATTATTTACAAAGCTTTTACCTTTTACAATATTATTCAATATATGCCTTTTTTAAGGGTGTTTCTATTTGAAAGCTAACATAAATGTATGTTTTTCTGTCATTGCTAGCTGTTTATTAAAAAAAGTAAAATAAATTACAATTTATATATTTATATTCATTGCAGTATTTTATAGTTTATCCTCATTACAGTGTGCTTCTTCCCTAGTCTGCTCTGTGTTTCAGAAAGATAAAGATTCTGTTGCAGCATGAAGGTATTGGTTACTTGTGACTTTCATCACACATACAAGATAAGTTATGAAAACTGTGGCTGTGTGTTGAATGCACTTTCCTGTGACTGCTCTACAACTTCTACAATTGTCCCTTCTATTCTTTTAGAGGCTATGTAAAGGTGGAGGTAGAGTTATTTAATGACCAGCTAAAGCTTGAGTGGTCCACAAAGAAATCTGTGGGGCAATTATTTTATTGCAATTCAGTCTCTTCTAGGATCATATACTCAGTAAGGAATTCATTTATGACATACGACAACAATTACAAACATGCAATCTTTAAGAAGATAAAGATGTGGACATCAAATACCAAATTGCTTAAGTGCAGAAAACCATAATGCTCTTAGAAAAGCCTAGCGCATTCATTAAGCATTATGTTAGGCTATATTTACTGGAAATATTTCAGCTAAGCATTCAGTGGGAATTATTTCTGGCATAATAAACTACCTATAAGTTATCATTTTCTTCATATAAATAGCATTTAGGACATTTCAGACATAATTTGATAGACATAAGATTTTGATAAATTAGACATAAAGATTTTTCTTTAACCTAAGTTAGATTTCATCCTTCCTAAATGTTCAGGATGTGTAGGTGTGGAATGGATGAAGAGTCATATGTAACACACCAAATGGCTCTGGAATTAAAAAAAATCACAGAACAAACATTTCAACGTCAGTCAAGATGGCAATGCTGGGAGCAGTGCTATAGTGCATAATCAAAGCAAAAACAGTTAACTGCCAGTATTATTTCAAATAGAATGCCAGTATATTTTTCTGTCAGTTTAACCCGTATTACTTCCAAATGTCTCAATTCTAATTGAAAATAGATTAACAAACCATATATAAGTAGCATATCCCTTTTTCTGTTTGCATATCCCATGACAATCTATGTATTTTTTACAAGAAAACTACATAGATGTTTCTTAAGATTACAACTGAAATGCACCAAGCTCTTTTAACCCTATTGCGTAAAAAAGTCTATTCAAGATAGCTGTGAAGACCCAGTGTGTAAAATCAGTTGTCTGAAGATGACATAGATGGCATTCATATCGATGTAATATGCACTAGTGAAGTGTTTCTGTTCCCTGTGAAGAGAATCATGTTTCTTTTTGTGTCACTGCCAACTGAAGTTGTTCCAACTCTCTGCTTATGTATTACACTCACCCTCCCCCTCAGTTGAAGTATTCTCTCAGTGTGATGGTGCAGCAGGTATGACTTAAGAACTGACACAGGTTCAAAGAAACTTTCTTTCTTGATACATTGTATCTAAGCAGAATGACTTCCCCTGGCAGGGATCTGGCCAAGAAGTGGTATCAGTGTAACCGAATGTTTGGGAATGAGGTGCCAGAGGCAAATGGGGGGGCTACTTAAATTGACATTGCTCTTTCAGTTTCACTTTTCTTTACAGAACTTCTGATCTTGCTCACCAAATCAAAAAAACCCCAAACCAGTTAAAAAGTAACTGCTACTGAACCATTAGATACTTCTTTGAACCTGCAGGACATATCAACAGGTTGGACCTTTCAGTTTAGAGAGAGAAGATGACCCTGGGTAGTCATTCTGATGGCAGCAAAGTGCCTGGATTTCAAACCTCTGTTCTGAGCCATATTATGTAAATCATGGCAATCATAAAGAATCCTGACCTGTGCAGTCATCTTATAGATTGTGTTTCGTCTTAGTGTTTGAAATTAAGTTGGTTCATATCAGGGACTGATACCAATTTAATTAGAACCCATTTTAGGTAGTGATGCACTTCTGTAGCAGTTGTTTTGGCCTAAGCTAACAAATACAGAACCACAACTCTGCCACAGCCAGAATGCAACACTTCCTCTTCACTGCCCTCCTCTTCGAGCCTATCACCTTCTAGAAGCTGTATCAAGAGCTGAAGCTGGTCAATTGTCTTTCTACCAACCAGGACTAAACCCCTTTGCAGTTCACTCACTCCTCTGACACACTTCATTAAATTATCAAGAAACAAGGAGTAAATAGTAATGCATTCTTAGTTACACATTTCAAACCGGCTTATGAGTTCAAAACTAATAGAAAAGAACTACTTTGCCAAATCCACACTGTCAGAGTTCAATCAAAATTCTCAGCTTGTTTATAAAAAAATCACTCCAGGGCTTTCCATTATTTACCACACTCTTTCAAAATGTTGTCCTGTTTGTAATCAGACTTTATCTTTAAAAACATTTGTGAGGTCCTACCATTATCAAAACCGCTACTTTTGGCTTTTTGAGTATACTAAGCAAAGATGGAATTTCTTTCAAAGGCTTCAGCAGTTATTCTCAGTAGTTTTAGACTTACATGCTTATTTGGTTATCTTATTGTTCTATCAAATATTTTCTAATTGACCAGAGGTTTTGTAGAAAAGCAGTTCATTTGATGAATCGGCATGTTGTACCTAATGGGTTAGTTGTCAAACCAGAAAGTTATTAATCACGGGAAGAGAAACTCCTATTTAAACCCCTGACAATACACATAAAGTATATGCAACAAACAAAAGGAGGGAAGCAGAACTGAAAACAGGAAGGGGGTGTTGTTCAGTATTTCAACAAAGGAAATGTAGGATGAAAACTGAAAACTTGTGTAAGTATCAGTGACATGAAAAATATTGTATTCTTTGCACTACATTGAGATTCTGATTGTGTTAAATAACTTCTGTGAGTCAAATTAACAAGCTTAAATGCTTAAAGGCAAAAACCTTTACTTCTTTTTTTTTAAGTACAGGAAATCAATAACCAGGTTCTCTTCATTCTATGACTAAGACCTGCACAGACATATCACCAAGCCTGACACACACATCCTCCAATTCTTCAATCACAATGAGTCATGTGAAATTAACTTTGTTTTTTTCATTCTTATTTAGCACACTATTGAATAGCTTCTCACAGAAAAAAAAAAAGTAAAAATAGGTAAATATGTAACTTCAGAATCTAAGTGGAAAGATGTATAGACACACAATCTAAAATATATGGTTGTATAATTCCTTCTGACACTGCTTTGTGAGATACTGAACAGCAGTAAGACAGAAGATGTTAAAACACCGCTTGTAAGAGGGTCTAGGGCACAAGCATTTATGCCATTTAATATTAAAACTGAGAATACGGGCTTTACACTTCCTGGAACGAGAAACGCTCAAACATATAGTACAAACCAAACATGACTCATGACATTTGAACGTATCCGGTGGCAGCGAGGGGGAAATAACGCGTGCAGCTCCCGTTGGTTATCCCTTGACAATTTCTGATTTATTTAGCAGAATAAACACAAAACACAGTGTCAATACGCAGTATTCCGAATGACTGCTGCATGGGACGTGCTTTCAGCAACCAGAAGTTATAAATGAGCTGTGGGCACTGGTTTCGCGGACGGTTGTCCCACCGCCCGGCTGCTGGCCGCTCCCTCAGCCTTGTACCTCACCAAGGAGACATCAGCAGCCTGCGCGGCGCCCCCTTTCCCGGGGGAAGCTCGGGGAAAGCGCCGGCCTCACCTCGGATGTGCCCTGCGGGGAGGCCGCCCGCCCTTATCGGGACAGGGAGCGTCTGGCACCGCGCCGCTGCTATCGCACACCTGGAGTGCGAGCCCGGTCTATGGAGTGGTACCACTGAGGACACACGACCCATCCCGAGCCGTGACAGCCCGGCGCCCGCGGCTGTTAGCCAGCTCCACACAACCGGCGTAGTATCCCCTCCAACCTACACACACCCCCCACACCCTCCCCCCCCAGCTGGCCCGCCCTTCCCCCACACCAGACGGCTCGTCCCACCCCTCAGCCAATGAGAGGCGCTGCGGCAGCCTCGCTGCGACTGTTGGCCAGCGCGCCAGCCGTTGGTCGTCCCGCAGCCAATCGTCGGCCAGCTTGAGCCCCGGCCCCTCCTCCTTCCGCGGCCGCTGGGGCTGGGAGTCACCGCAGACGCCATTTCCTCAGCGCCCCCGCGGCGGCGCGGCTGCATCAGCGCTGACGTGAGACCGACGTGCGGCTCCGCCCGGCCCAATCCCCCCCACCCCCTGTGACGGGGGCACCACGTACAGGGCGGCGGGTGAGTGCGGGAGGGGGCGGGGATACGTGTGCGCGCAGCCCGACCCCCCGCGGGCCGGGAGCCGGGGAGAGCAGTGGGCAGCGGCGAGCCCCGGCAGCGCAAAGGGCAGTGCAGTGCGATGCAGTGCAGGGCAGGGCAGGGCAAGGCAAGGCAAGGCAAAGGCGGGTAGGGGGGCGCTCTGCCGTGCGGCTGGGCTCAGCCCCTGCCGTCGGGAGCGCGCAGGAGGGGGCGGAGGCGCGTCCTCGCCACGGCCGAGAGCGCGCTGCATTTAGGAACGGCCGCGCAGGGCGCGCCTGCCTCTCTCGTGCCCCTGGCTTGGCTCGGTTTGACGGCCCCGAGACGTGAGGAGCTCGGGAAGGGGACTTATGGAGTTTCCTGCTCCGTTACAGCCCGGGAGCCGGCAAGCTGCGTCTCGGGCTCTTTCTCCGGAGCGAGGCTTGGGAGGGAGATCGGTTCGGTTCGCCTGTCGGTAGTTCGGCGAGTTAGGGGACAGGGCAGCGTGCTTACCCGCTGTGGTCAGACAGCCGGTGCCCCGGCGGAGGGGAGACTGCTGTCCCATGCGGGGTGAGCCATGGTGCTTGGGGCCGTTCTCTTAACTAGGTAGGCCTCATTACATCCTTGCCCGTAAGGTTTCCCAAGCTGGGGCAGGAAAACGGGTGGGAGATGGTCACAGTGGGCTTCGTGATACCTAGGTCCTGTTAAAGGTTTGAGGGTTCTGTCTAAATCCACCACTGTCCTATCAGTATCTTCCTTGGTGCGGCGTGGAGCCGCATGTTAAAAGATTCCACAGGTACTGGTGCTTAAATCATCTTTTTACTTACTCAGGGGCTGGTTGGACTCTTCTAAACGAGGGCCATTCATCCTCTTCACAGCAGACTCAGCGCTGCCTTGTCTATTAACGAGGTGGCAGATGCGAATTGAGAGGTAGCATGCTTGTACTTACAGTCATCGTAGACTTGGGTTTAAATTATTTTTTTTTTGAGGGTGTAAATAGTTTTAGAAGAAAAGGAGCGGGAAGAAAATGAGGAAACATTAGAGTTTAGGACGCACAAAAAACTTCGTGTTCTGCTGATACTGAAAACTTAACAGAAAGATTACACTTTAAGAATTAGGTCTGTTATGCTGTTGCTCATTTTAGCCTGGCTGAATGCTGTGACCACCTTACCAACCAGTGTGCTTTGCAAAGCAATATAGTAAAATATAACAGGCTTCATACTTGAAACCACAACAATCTTCTGAAAGTAGCACATTCTGAGTTTTCACACTCACCGTTGGGTCATCAATAAATGCAAAACAGGTGTTTGTAAATTCACATCCTTGCTCTCTAGTAACTTCCCTGTGAATAAAAGCCTACAAAGAGATCTGGAGCAGGGGTTGAAATGTATTTCATAGCCCCTTACAATATTTTTTGTAATAAGCTACCTTTGTAAACAGTCTCTAATGTATAAAGTGTTGTTGAAATAAAGAAGTTGTCTTTAAAATGTCTCTTGAGTATTTAATTAGACAGTTGCACATTTTTAGTTTTGCAAAATGTTATACCAGTTTGCTTATGTAGCCTAATTTCACCAGTAGGCATTGCTTGTATTAAGATTCAGTGATTTAAACCAAAGAGGAGTATTGGGGGAAAGTGAAGGGATTTTTTGTGTTCTCTTTTTATTGCACAAGAACACACCTTGATAAGGATGCTATTCTTCAGCTTTCATTTATAGACAGAAGTATAAAAGGTTCACATCTTTAGCTATAAGTCACGTTCCGTTTTCTTGGTCACTTGGGCAACGTTTTCCTTTAGCTGATGCTGCCTGCCAGTTTTGTCCTGTCAGGACAAATGTTTCTTCAGCTGCTGCTGTCAGCTGAAGAAGCTTTCAATGTGCACTATATATATCTCCATAATTGGTGTTTACCTGCTACTGACTTACTGTACCTTAGACTTGGTGACTGCAGTAAACATATGCTAATACGTATTGGAACCTTACTAGCTAGTTAACAGTTAAAACCTGCCTGATCCTGAAGGTTTGCTGCTTTTTAGGAAGGAGCAGCTGTTTGCCTGCATTCTGGAATGCCATTCCTTTGCCCCCTCTTTATGCGAGGGGAGAGACATAACTCATTAAAAATCCTGACTGATACTTAAAATTGCTGTGCAGCCAAGGTACAAAATGTAAGAAATGACTTAATACCGAATGTAGGACTAAAGCTTGTATATAATTAATTATACAGTGAAGAAAAGCATTATGTAATTTTAAATGGGACCTAAGAGCATATACTTTGTAACTGTTTGCTTGGTTTTCCTTTAAAACAGAAGATAACCTTTAAAGTGTGGTATACTACTAATACACTTTTATAAAGTATTTTAAGTGATTGTCAAAATATGTATTTTTTTTCTTTGAACCTTAAAAGCAATAAATGTTACAATTCAGTTTCAGTGGAGACTTCTTGAGTGCAGTACATACAGAAACTGTTTATTTTGGTAATTTCTGTATCAGATTATTAACTGTTTCTTACCAGTCTGTATTACTGGTGTTTTAGAAAAAAACCCAACCATAATTACAGTCTTGTTCTGTGTTTTTCTGTATGCTTATTAAAAACAGTTTGATATATTTAGTAAAATTATTTATGAGATAACCCAGGAAATGGAAAATCTGTACTGTTTAGGTTACAGTAATCTGAGTTTATGAGGGTGCACTAACAAGGTGCTAACCTGGACCATGCAACTCAGGAGTTTCTCAGCATGCTTGGTCCTGAGCTGTGCCCAGGCCCATGGGAAGTGACACGGGTGTGTGTGGCTGTACTGCTTCCATGAGGTGGGCTCAAATGACTTTGGCTGGGCTTCACCTCCAGGGGCAATAATCCCCTATATTATGTCTACCGAAGAGATGTGCTACATTTTGTCTGTAGTCATCTTTCTCATTGAAGTTGTGTAACAAGATAACTGTTTTAAAATTACTTATGCCCTTTGTTATTTATTTTTTTTGGTTTTATAGCCTATAGTTAGATCAACATTTTTAGTCGAGCCTCTGTTCACAAGCATACTAGATTTACCACATTGTCAAAAAGATGTGTATTTTAGGCTGTCTAGAAAGGGTATTTTGCTGTGTTCTAGGGCAACAGTTGCATTTTCTGGTAGTAAAAAGTGCTAATTAAAAACAGTATACAAATTTTCAAAATTTACTCCATTTTGCTTAAGATTTAAAACAGGGAATCATTTATGAGTGAGAAATTATAAAATTATAAATGGAAAATCTATTTAAATTCTTGAGTTTTTCATGTATGTCATAAATACTAATTACATTTGTCATTTCACTGGCGTGTATAACCCTTGCTGCTGTTTTTCTAATTTAATATAGATAATCTAAAAAAATAGTCCTTTTTACTGTATTTTTTTAAAATACTAGGAATAACTTTATTTCTGCTGCACTGATGCTCTTTTCATAGTTATTTAATAACTCAGTAATTGGATTATAGCAGATGAAAAGACTTGGAGAGGAATATCTTGATAATCAATGTAGTAAAATTAATTTTTTTTTTTATTACAATGTTCTGCAATCAGTGAGGAATAATGCTAAAATTTATAAATGAAACCCTATTTTTATTTATTCATTTAATTTTAGAACATGAAAAATGGCACTCTCTCTCTATGTAAAATTTCTGTGCAATGCACTCAATGGGAATAAAAGCACTTGTGTTTTGTTTTGTTTTTCCCTAACAGTAGGTTATCTATGACAGATGGCTTTGGTTAAGAAAATACTTCAGGGCCTGTCTAAAGTGAATTAATTCTGACTAAATCTCACCTTTAGGAAGAGAGGTTTTGCAATTAATGTTTTGCCAGTACCTATGCATGATTTAATTTTCCTTGGTATGTGAGATGTTGTGAAGCTTATGGAGGCATTTGTACATGAATCAGGTGGAGCTTTCATGTTTAACACTCTGGATGGTCCTAGGTTACTAAGGAGGAACATTTTTTTTTTTTTCTACTTTATTATTGTGATGCATGAAACTGGAATGATTTAGTAAGATAAACATCTCGTTATGAAAAATTATGGTGGAAAACTTGGTGAAAACATTCTCCTCGGAGTTTTTCAACTTTGATGAATTTCAGTAGATCTTTAATTAGATTGTATCTAAAGAAAAAGGTAATAAGTAACTAACAGGACAGGAATGTAAAAAGATTTTAGGTGTAAAATGTCTCCTGAATCTACTCTGAAGTGATACTAACATAGAGTATGTAAGTTCTTTTGGCAGAAACACTAATGTTAACCCATAAATTCTTGAATGTGTACGGCTTGGCTTACAGCTGTTAAGTCTGGTCCGCAAAATACCATTGGAGGAATATAAGCTTGAACTACGCTTCTCTGCATCTTTTGACTGAATTCCTTTTTGGTTTTCCATGCATTTATTCTATGCAGAAAGGGTGATGTAAAACTAATTATTTATTCTCCTAAAAAATTGTGGAATATTCTGTAAAATAGTGCAGCAAATGGAGCTGGGTTTACATGTAATTAATTTTAATGGAGTTAACTTTTAACATGTGCAACTTGGAGTCAGGCACGTGGGAGACTTCCTTCCCCATCTCTTCCATCTCTCAGTGTGGGACCTGAGCAGAAACTGCAGTAACTGGCAGCCAGTTTAAACAGTTGAACTTTGAGTTCAGATGGGCTTGCCATCCCTGATTTACAGTAACCAACAGAGAGGAAACAAGATGTGTTGCCTCTTAAATCCCACAGCTGTAGTATCTTCCTTTTGCGGCCTCAGTTTCTTGTTTAAGTAGGTGTAGGTGGGAGCACGCTGCAGGGTTCTCTGCTTGACCCCGTCCTGTCTGTTCTGTTTGTAAACTGACCTGTTGCTATGTCAGTGTTTGTGACATCACCTGTTCAATGTTGCACCTTCAGTGCAGGCTTTGGTAGGAGAGAGAGGGAGCTGAAGAGAACCAAGCTCTTGTTTTAAAACTCACAACTTCCGGTATGACTAAATATGCCAAGAAATACAGAAAAGCAACTGCCAGGTAATTGCATTTTTATATAGCAGATATATTTGGAAGCTTTCTCTGTGGCATTTAAACTCATAGTTTAAATTGAGGGTCAAGGAATTGCTTACTCTTGTATGCAATTTACCCTTCTTCTAAAGCTGCAAAATGGGAAGAATTGTGTGTCTTAAGCTGCAAGTAGTTACAGGCAATTCAATTGTAGATCCCAGCTGAGGTTTGATATCTTGGAAGGTTTGAGAGGGCTATAGCAGCACATGGCTGCTGGACAACTTGAGCCTTGGCCATGGGGAGATGTGAGGCACAAAGGACCTGCTGTGAGCAGTGCTGTTGGGGCTTCTCTGGAGTACTCACTGCAGGGGAGCCTAGGCCTCTCTGCTTGTCCCTCTCCAAGCCATTTCCAGTACTGCCTCTCCTTGCAGCTTTCCAAAGTTCTTGTTTTAGGGCTTCTGGCTATATGAATCAATATTTTAATATGGGGGAACCTCATACTAAAGGAAGGAAGGACCTCAGTTAATCTGGAAGGACCTCAGTTAGTCTGGAGTTTTTAAAGGAATCTTTTATTTTCTGTTGTTAGTTGTCTGCTCCAAATATAAAATGGTCTGGAATTGCATTTTTCTCCCTATGTGCCTGATATACCTCCCTGTACTGCATTATTTAGATGTGCATGTGCTTACTTTTAGACAGATGACCATGGAAATGGTTGAATCACAACAGGATGACAGTGCAGGGGATTGTATGCCAGAGAGAGATGCTGTTCGTCTTCAGAATCAGCCAGGCCGAAGTCATATTTCTCAAGGGTCTGAGGTAAGCTGAAACATGGAAAGATGAGAAGGGTCAAGAAAGAGGTATTCAGAATAGTTATGATTTTTGAGTGATTCATTTATATGGAGTTCTCTTGTTCTGTAAGTCTTGTTATTAAATAGGAAAAAATAGCAAAGGTATATGGAAAACTGTGCATGTGGTATTTAACAAAGAGCTAGTACAACACGAGGTCTGTTATAAAGTAGCACTTTTAGGAGACCAGGTTTTTCAGAATGAATGGTAGGCACTTCTTTTTTTTTTCTTTTTTACTTTTCCAAGATGATTGTGTTTGTTACGGAGATGAGGATAGGGTCTTAAAGAGTTAAGGTGTTTGCAAGATCTAGCATAGTTAAAACATTGTATCTTTAAGAAGTGGTGTAACAAAAATGAAAAATGAATTAAAAATAACTGTGGTTCTTCCCTAGTTCTAATTTTTGTACAGAATGTGTTTAATTCTTTCGGAAGTACATTTTTAGTGTATGCTTATTTTATTTCATCCTGTGCATCCAGTGACAGTGTCTGAAGTACTAAAAATATACATATTCTGTATGGTAGTCATACCTGGATTATTCTTTGCTAGTTAATGGATGAAAGATGACATAGTAATAACCCTCAAACATTAAAAATATGTACTGAAAGGTTCAGTGCTTAAGAGAGGTAATATTCTTGCCAGTACTAAGATTTATAACTTCAGGAAACTGTATAGACCCCTTAGAAGGATCTTCAAAAACACTTTATGAAAGAAAGGAACTGATTTAAAAGACATCTTGTAGAATTTCTTCATCACTGGAAGTCAGAAGTTACTCGGTAAGATTTGATGCATGTGTTGGTATGTTAGATAATTGATCTGCATTTTCAGGACTGAATGCAGCTGCTTTTTATGGGTTCTTTCAGACACAAAGTAAACTGCAAACTATTTATGAGTGCTTATTTGTTAGCTTTGTAACCTATGGCATATGTTGTGGTTTTGATACATGCAGCATTAGGAATACTGCAGGGTTTTTGGAGGGAGGGTAGGAGGGATTGTTTGTTTGTTTTCCTTTAAGAATGGAACATGAAACCAATAAGCTTATTTGGTTTGCTCTGTAGATGTAATCCCCATATTTCTTCGATAGTTCAGTTCAGATTTTGTGCCCTAACTTCACAGTGTGATTTACATGTAAAATCTATTGGCATGTGCAGTAGTCTCTGAAGAAAATACCTGTCAATTCTGTCACTTGGGATTTCTCATGATGATCTAGAGACAAAGCTGTCACTAATGCTGTTGGAAGGCTTCTGATGGGTCAGGGAATACATTTTTTTGTGTTTATCTGCATTTAATGCTTGAGCACATGTGAAGCTTCAGCCATACTGCAATAGGCCTCGAGTGTTTCAACTAAAACTAGTAACTGAAGTACCAATGGATCTCAGTCCATCAGCAGTAAAATGAAACGTGCACTTCAGTTTAAAGGCTCAGGATAACAGTTGAGAGTTTACATCTGGGAGTCCCTCTTTTTGGTCAAACAGCCTAGGGAGCCAGCACTGCTCTGCACTTGTAGCTGGAGTCAATGTCCCTCCCTTGGGATGGACAATGCCAGAAAACTGGCGTTGATGCAGTTGTGCCACTCTAACCAGCAGTGAAGCAGGGGGCCTCCAGGGGACAGCCCTGCCCCCTCAGCTGTCCAGCAGTGCTCCAAACCTCACTGGCTGCCCCCTCACTGCTGTTCCCCAGGCCAGGGCCTGCAGGCCGCAGCTGGGAGTCCGGACCTCCCATTAGAGCCTTGAGCTTGAACTGCCACAGCATTTCCTGCAGTAAAACAGGCAGAAAGCTTATTGCTGAAAGACTTTATTGTGACATTTCTTTGGTTTAAGATGAGGAGGACTTTCTTAGCTTATGTTCCTACCTGGCAAGCTCAGAAGATGAGGTGCTTTGTCATGGTGATGGTTGGAGGTAGACACTGGGAGGTAAACCCCTGCTCAAGGCAGGGACCGCATGTGGGACATCTGTCTGCTTTTGCTGGTGCAGGGTGGGAAGATCAGGGTGTTTGTTAGGAATTCATGGCTGTGCTGCTGGTCCAGAGTTTGTGTATTTTAACTGTTACAGAAGGGTGCAGGTAGTTCTTTCTCCCTTTGGCCTCTGGAGGAGTGCAATTAAGAGAAAACAACCACTTAAAGTGACTGAAATATACCTTGGACTAGCTTCCAATCATCTTCCCTACTAATTTACTGCAGATGTATGGAAATGTGAGAAAAGAATGACTGAGTTCTTACTTAAAGGTAAAATCATATAATAGTTTGGGTTGGAAGGGACCTTCAAAGCTCATCTAGTCCAACCCACCCGCAATGAGCAGGGACGTCTTCAACTATGTCAGGTGGCCCAGACCCATATCCAGCCTGTCCTTGAATGTCTCCAGGAATGGCGCATCCACCACTTCTCTGGGCAACCTGTGCCAGTGCTTCACCACCCTCATTGAAAAGAATTTTTTCCTCATATCCAGCCTGATTCTCACCTCTTTTAGTTTAAAGCCATTACCCCTCGTCCTGTCACAACAGGCCCTGTCTTTCTTATAGGCCCCTTTTAAGTACTGAAAGGCTGTAATAAGGTCTCCCCAGAGCCTTCTCTAGGCTGAACAACCGCCACTGTCTCAGCCTTTCTTCATAGGAGTAGTGCTCCATCCATGATCACTGAAACCAGCAGACATCTCTGCGGTTTTCTTTTTTGTTTTATGTTGGGGGGTTTTTCAGCCAAATATTTGTTCAGCCTTGGTTTTGTTAAGTCAAAAGTGAAGCATTTTAATATGTTATCTTTAAGTACTGTAATTATCGTTTTCTGTGTATTGTAAGAATCGCAGAATAGTTGAGGGATCTTTTGAGAGCATCTGGTCCAATTCCCCTGCCCAAGCAGGTTCAGCCAGCTAAGGTTGCCCAGGACCGTGCCAGACAGTCTTTGTGCCAGACAGCCCTTGAAGTGGTGATAAAGCACTGCTCATCACTGATGTCAGGAAAGTATATCCAGTTGGGTTGTGAACATCTCCAAGGATGGAGTCTCTACAACCTCTCTGGGCACCTGTGCCAGTGGTTGACTGTCCTCACAGTAAAAAGGGGTAGGATTTTTATGTTCAGATAGAATTTCACGTGTTTTATTTTCTTACTTTATTAGTAAAGAAAATATAGTTTGGGGGTTTGTGGGTATTTTTGTTGTTGTTTGGTTGTTTGTTTGTTGTTTTGTTTTGTTTTCTCCCTATCTTGTGTAATAGATACTGCTAATGCATTTTTGGTGATAAAAGTAAAATTACTTCTGCAAAAGCAAAAATGAGTGAATTAGAAATATAAAAAATGAGATGCATCTTTCATCCACTGTGGCAAAATTGTCATTTTTCTGTCTTGAAAGGATTTTTATTTTTTTTTTACAAAAATAAGTAGTGTGAAATAATTTATAGCTGAGTTTCTTGCATCCCTCACTTTCAGCCAGTTAATAAATTGACAGAGTATTGTTTTAAATATGTTTTCAATGTCATTTCAATAAGCTCCAGCCTCCAAAAGAACTGGGTAAGAAAATATTAATTCATTAAAATTTTGGTGATTGTCTTTAGAAGCTGTTGGACATGTACAAAAAACCTGTAGAGAAGCTTGATGCCTTTTTTCAGTGAAGAACAAAGGTGTGAGATGGAATATTTCTCCACCTGTGTTTAGATGGGCTCCATAAGTCCCTGTTCACATGCACAGATCTTACATGAATACATACAGGGCTGTTCTTAAAAGGAAGATAACTCGGGAATATTCTGATAATGCTGTGGTAGCCAAACTTGTATCTTGGAGCAGTTATATCTTCATTGGTATTCACAGAGAAATTATATGTTCCTTTTGCAGCATTTCTAGAAGACTTATTGCATTCTGTGTTGTCCTGTGCTCAGCTACACTAAATTTAACTGTAAAAATGTAAGATCAACGTACTTGGACCTTTTTAAGATTTGACAAAAGTACTTTCAGTTGTGGTCTTTTCCTGTAATCCTACATCTTTGTTTGGTTCTTTGAATCACTTTTTGTGACCTTTGTCTTGTTGTCTGTCAGTAGAGTTGTCTGTTGCCTTGGTCTGAATTACCATCTGTTGACCTTTCCATGCTGGTTCTGGACTAGATATTGATAGAGATTTACAATGTGAGAACTGCTGTCAGAAGAGAGCAGAGGAAGTTTTCCAGAGCCTGGAGTGCATAGCCATTCCAGGTTGGCACTGCTCAGGTTTAGCACCTAAGGGGTATTATCCTTGTGGCCTCTTGCCATCAAACCTTGTGTTAAATCTTGCTCCCAACAGATTGAGTCCTGCAGAATTCTGACAGACTGTTTTAAGTATGGCTATAAAATCAGTCTGCCAAATGCAACTCCAGGATATTTAGTTAAGCTGATGTTAGAGGACTGTAAACCTGCAGCCTTGTCACCATTTTATGATTACTTAAGGTATGTCACCAAATGGCTGAAATCAGCCTAACCTTGTCTTCCTTAAAACCATATGCTGCTTTTTTTGACGTTAGCTGTGGAATTGACCAAAACATCCCTGCCTTCAGCTTTTACTCATAGAGGCTACTCAGTGCCTGAGTGCAGTGAATGCTTTAATCTTTAATTAGGTGAATTCAGGATGGGTTTGCCTTGTCTTTTCCCACAAGTACTTTTCACTTCACTTCTGGAGTCCTTGTAGTGTTTAGTTTCTGCAGCAGGGACAGTACTCGGATGAAGCTCTGTGTGTACTTCATATCAGCATATTCAAGTACTGTGCACTTCATATCAGCAATGTTTAAGGCATGAGGGGTTGAGTGTGGATGTAACCTCTAGAACCTCTAGTACTATGTAGGGAGATGTTATCTGACCTTGGGCAATGAGAGTGTGTATATCCACAGTATGGCTGTTCAGATGGACAGTGCATCTTGAAATCAGATAATGATGAGTAATGTCTTTATGACGGTTATGAACCTCAGTGTGAAGATAGTTCATGATCTTCTTTTGCCAATGGAATACATGGTTGATACTTGTTGAAACCATTAGGCTTAACAGTTGCATACCTAAGAGGAAAGCATCCGAAAGGACATTACAAGATCTAAGTCTCTTTGCCATTGCTAGGGACATAACCCTTAAACTCTTTAACCAGATGCTTAATGTGTTATGCTTCCTCTTCCCCTTTGAGTTCCTGAGTTGCTTCTGTGGACTGTTTTCAGTTTTTGTGCCAGACAGCCCGTGAAGTAATGATGTTAAAGGTAGCATTGCTCATCACTGATGTCAGAAAGTAATTTTTTTGCCAAGTCTGTTTCAGTCAGCATTTATGTATGATAGTGTCAAAAGTACTGGTATTTTAGTTAACACAAGAATATTCAATTTGAAAACAATGCAAAAGGAAATGTGCATTTTTATAAATGTTAGAAATCATTAAAACAATTTTGATTCACAAGTTGGAAATATTTTATTTCCGTCTTAGTCATAGAAAACAAATTTAAAACAAAATAATTGCAGACATTTTAAAGAAAAATGTGTAGGTTACACATTATGCAACCTTTAGATATATGTGGAAACTCAGCAAAAAGCAATTAAATTAAATGGAACTGTTTAAAATGGATTTAAATGTAAATGAACAAGCAAATTGCTTTTGGTTTGATCCAGTTTTAAAATGCTACTGTCTTCTCTTCCCTCGTCTCTATCCCCCATTTAGTCTCTTCCCTGTATTGTTGGGAACAAAGCGATTTCCATCTGTCATGATGTAAACTTCAGTCTAAAAGAGTGTGGTTTTCTCTTTTCCTTGTGTGTTTCTACTGAATAAGCGGCTTTTAAATGAATGTAGTGTTTTTTAAACTTGAGTACTGGATTACTGCCTGATTGTAGGTGCCTGACCCATTGTGTACTGAAAAGAAACTCATAAGCTGTTCACCTTGTACTTTTTTGTGTTGTACTCAAAATGTTCTTTCTGATACACAGAGTATTGTATCAGATTTCAGCTCTTGCGAAGATAGTAGTAAGTGGAAAGGTTTGATGAAATTACCTTTTTAATAGTTTGAAAAGTTAGCATATTTTGTAAGCATTGAACCTGATCTGTCTTTCCTTGAAGCTTAGGTTTAGGATGATGTCAGCTCTGACACAAAAGAGGTCATATTCTTCAGATTCTGGAGACTTTTTAGATCTCAATCTCAAATACCTATCTCAGAATAATATTAGTATTTGGTTTTTAGATTGGAAGAAGGTTCGTATGTCCTGTTTACATGTTGCCATTAAATGCCATTTAAAGAATAATTGTTTCCATTTCATAGTTCGAAATGCCCTCGATTGTTCTATTTCCTGAAAAGTGGTTCAGTTTCCCATGACAATTGAACAATCACATAGTAAATGTCGACAAGATCCTGTCTCTGTTTCCTAGAAACATTGTTTCTTCAAGATAATTTGAGCCAACATCTGGTCTTTTTGATAGTAGTGCATCTTAATAGCAATTAAAAACTTTCTCTAAAGAAAGGAATGTTTCCCAGACAAGGCAATCATTCAGGAGTGAAAGCTTCTTTCATATTTGGTATTTAAAAATCCCTTCAGTGTGAACACAGAAAAATAGAAAACTTTCTTTAACTTTTGTAATATTCAGCATTCATCAGGTTTTTTCTTCATTGTCATCTATTCTTACCTTTGCTTCTCATACCAGATACCTTTTGGGTCTGAGAACAAAGCTGGGAAGGGAATAATACCAGAATTTTAGATACGAGTCAGGGTCTATTCTTGTGCATGCAGAATATAGAAACAAGGCTTTTTCAGTGCAGTTTGCTTTGAAAAACACAAGATCTGTTATTGTCATATGATTTATGTTTGTCATTCTCTTCTGAGTTTAGAGATGCTTCATCGCACAAAACTTGGCATCGTAGTGTTTTCCCTTTGCTTCAGGATTTGTTTCTGTTAGTAGACTTAACAGGAACAACATAAATATTGAACTATTTCTTGGCCTGTAGGTGTATAACTGTTTCTTAACCCATTCATCCTCATTACTGATGGTTTAGAAACAAGGCATGGAGAAAGCTGTGTGTGCTCTAATATGTCATCCAGAAAAGGCATCAAATTATTACGAAACAAAAGAGTTTCTTCAGCTGTGCTATGCTTAAAGAAGATTCAGCTGTTCTTTAATTTTTGTTGTCATATTGAAATATATATATCTAATTTTGCTGTCATATTGAAATATTGATATCTAAATATATATATAAAGAGAATTTATTAAACTGAATCAATTTAGAAATCAGTGTATTGCTTTATTTAACAGGGTTGGTGGTTTTTTGCTGTCTTAATAGTTCTCTTGTCTCTTGGGGAGACATCTATCTGAAAAGCCTACCTTCTTGCCAAGCAAAGCAAGCAAAACAAAAACAGTTCTGGCTTTTTTTTTTTTCTCAGTTTTTTTTAATTTATTTTTTTCCTGATTAAGACATTCTGCCCTGTATGTTGTTGCAGTGACATACTAGTTCAGCAAATATTGATACTATTCTTGCATTTCTTCCTAACCTTCATGCTAACAACAGCAGATTTAGTGTGTGATACCTTAGGGTTGTTTCCACTTAAAAAAAAACCATGAAGTCTCAGGAAAAAAAAAAAAAAGAAGAAAGATTTGCAATTTGTTAGGGGACAGATTTAAGCTTTCCATACCATTTAGAAAGACATCCACCAAACTTTTACTAATAAAACTAGTATCTTTCTGTGTGTGATAACTACACACATCTAAGCTATTTTAAATATGGCATCAAAACAAGTTTGTTCAGTATCACTTCTAAAAGCATCTGCTGAAGTCTTAAGACATGTTACTTAAACATGATGGTTGTAATTTTTGCAGGTTTCTGTAGCTGCATCAAGTGCTGGAAGAGGATCTCCAGCTCTTACTCTAGCGCATTTGCCTTCTGGTCAAACAGTTCATGGCCAGGGTGTCATTCAAGCCACACAGCCCTCAGTCATTCAGTCACCACACATGCAAGCTGTTCAGGTTAGCTCTTTTATTGTTACATTTTCATGAATATTTGGTAACTGATAACTCTTCCCCCCAACTCCATTTCCAGTTTCTCTTCATTCCTACCAGTGCTGTAAGATTTACTCATAAGGTGCAGGAAATGGGGAGGTACGTGGCAAGCTGCCAACCAGTAGCAGCTCTGCAGCACTGTGTAGTGATTCCTTAATGCTTCCTGTTTAACTGGTAAGAAATTGTGTCTTGGAACCCTGAACTTATGAAACAGCAAATTTATGTAATAATGTGGCCTTACATTAGTGTACCTTGCAGTTTTTCTGTGGATTTTTTTCTTTTAATTCTAGGACCATCATGTTTCTAATGAGACTATGTACTCATAAATTTGCGAATATCTCATACACTATTTTTGGAAAGGATCTAAGTGTAATGGAAGTAAATGTGTTGTAGTGAAATGATTACTTGTTGGTTTTAGCAGGCCCTTTTAGAGCATCTGGTATTGCTTTTTGTGGGTATGGATATGAAAAGACCAAAAATAAGGGCAGCCTCAATGTAAACATGTATTTGGCAAATCTTCACATATTTAAAGTTGCTGATGTTGAAAAACAAGGACCAGTGCAAAATGCTTAAGATATTTCTGAGCTTTTAAATAGGAAAAAGGCTAGAGAAAATCGACTTGCAATGTTTTGAAAATGACTTGGCCTCCCATTGGTGTTTTTCTTGTAGCTAAGAATACCTTTGCTCTAGTTTTCTTAAAATCTGATTGTGAAATGTCAACTGAATTGCTCTTTGCAGATAGAATTGGTATCTCTGGTAAGAAAGGCTGTATACACCTGTTACGCATGAGCTGTTTGACCTGTAGTCATTGAATGTGTTAAGGAAAAAACATGCGTTGTTGGTCTTCTTGTGAAGCCACCTTTAATGTTTCAGACTTACTGGCTTTCAAGTGCAGTGAATAAGAAGGCATACGTAAGTATGATTTATTTTAGAGTTTAGAGAAAAAGAATAAAACCTTGGCAAGATACTGAATATTTTATTTGTAAGGAGTAGGTGTAGATGGGACTTGCAAGGTTTTGAATTTCTAGCTATTGAAACAGGTGCAGTAGATGTCAAGACACTTGGGTTTGGTCAAGCTTGAACTCAAAGTAAAGTATTCAAAACAAGTATTTTTTAAAATGGAATTCTTTCTAACTGTAATTTACCAGAGCAAACTTCATTATGTAAGCATATTGCAGTTATTCCAGGTAGCTGTCTGCTTTTCTTTAAGTCAGTGTAGTCAGGATGCATTTTGCTCCAAAGCTCAGAAGGAATTTCTCTGGAATCTCTTGCCAGCTGCTGTGTCGTCTTAGGGGAGTGAAAGTTGACTATTTGTTGTGTTGAGTAAACTCTGTCTGTTTTCCCTTTCCCAAAGGAGTAGAGACAGGAAAGCTGTGCCCTGATTAATACTGATTAGTCAGTTCCAGGGTTTTGCTCTGGTGCCATTTGAGCATGGTAATGGCAAATAAGGTGACTCTAGAAGAAGGGTTTGAAGATGCTGTAAAAGACTCCATTACACAGGTTGTTTAGCCTTTCGTGATCCTCTTAAGTAATTTATCCTGCCATCTGGCATTTCCTCCACATCATTTGGCTTTAACTTGATATTGTATCTTTGCCAGAAAGTAGGGAACTTGGGAAACAGTATCAGTTTACTTTACAAGAGGAAAAAAATGTATGCTGAAAGTTGTTGTTGAGGTTTTGCTTGACTTCTCCCTCTAACACCTGCAGCTTTAAACCAGAAAATGTTCAACCTTTTTTCTTGTAATGATGTTGTATTTTGGATTAAGGGAAGGCTTATCTATATCATGTTCCTTACTATTTTGTTAATGTTGTTTTACTTGTTGGAAAGTTTGAAGTTAAGATTATTATTTGACTTTTCTACTTGATCCCCTCTGTAGTGCGTCAGTTATTGGCAGACTAAGTTAAGTTTGTTCAAAAAACACAGCAGTTTAGTAAAGTTGAGGTCTGAATGATGTCCAGGAAAAAATGACATTGTTTTTCACTGGTCAGCATTGCGAACGTTGTTGCTTGCTATTAGAGCAAACCAAAACATTAAATTTATTTGTTTTGACGAAAATTAGAACTTTTGACATTTCTTCTGCAAAATACCCTCTTACGCATTAAAATGCTTAAATTGCCTTTTGATTTCCTTACCTTCTTCCCAAAGTATGATTGTTCTTGACTTCTTTGTCCATCTTCACAAACTAGGGGTGGCTATAGGTAACCCTTAGTGGGATGGGAAGGTTTAAAGGCACTAGGGGCTTGTTTTCTTGCTGTTTGTCCTGAAGCAATTAGATACATATTTTTTTGTCTCCCTTCCATCTCACCTGGCAGAATGAGAGCTCTGTTTTCGGATAGGATGTCCAGGCTCCTGGCTATGTAATACTGTTTTAGTTTTGAAGTTCTGTGCCAGAGCCTTGAAGGTCAGTTGACAAGCAGATCACTGTAGGGTACTGGGGGGAGATTACTTTCAGACGATCTCTTTGCTGGTCAGCATTGGTCCATTCTTCAGAAGGATGGATACAAAATTCCTGAAGCTCTCTTATTTCTGCCAGTCAGCTCTGAAGCCTGGTTTTGAGCTCTACATCTGTAGACAGGCAGAAGTACATACCTCTCATTATTTCTGGATGGTTAGTTTCTGGATGGAAGTTTAAGAGTTTTAATGAAGCTTCCTACATACTACCCAGCAAAATGAGGCTACATTTAGTATTTTTACATAAAACTGGAAAGTAATAGAATTAACCAGTGAAGAGAATTTTGTTCTGCAGTAACCTGTAGTTTTTTCAAGGTGTAGTTTTACAGATTCAAGTTGTTGTGACCCAAGCCTATACATTTCCAGAACCTTCCAATCACCTATTTTCTGTTGAGGTCATGCAGGTTTTATTTCTAGCACCAGGCACCCAGGTCTGGCAGCTGCAATAATTCTGGAGCTCTTCTTTGTCTTCCCTGTGCTGCCTGCAGCGATTCCAGGTCAAACACTTGAGCCTTCTCATTTGTTGTTAGCTTAACATAGTGCTTAGTCTGAAACTGAAGTCTGATCTGTCTTTATGTGAAAAGGTCATTTTCCAAACTAGCTTTTACTGCACTTTCAGTTTGAAAATCTTAAATGCCAGCAGTTCTGAGTAGTAAAATCAAGAAAATAGGGTGTTTTTGTTGTACACTAATCACTTTCAGTTCTGTATAATAAGATAGTTGCTGGTAAAAAGTGTGATTCAACTCTGGGCCTTAACATTGTCTCAGGTAATTTTAAGAGAAAAAGAACCTGTGAAAATACTACTAATAAAGGTCTAAGAAAATGAGGGATTGAACTTGTCAGAGGGTTCTGAAACTTGCAGAGTATTGCTAAGCAGTGTATTTGTATTTATGAATATGTGTTGGTAAGTGTAATAAATGTGTAAATAAATGCATTTTCTAAGTAGCTTTGGTGTGGTTGTGAAGAGGCTTTTGTATTGTATATTGTTCTTTAAGGTGTATCAGTGCAATATTCTGTATTTTAAATGTTTAATTTCACTCTAAAAGCTAATTAAAACGTGTACTATATTTAAAGAAATCTATCTTCAGTACTTTTGCTAGGTGTCATTTACAAAAAAGTAACCTGGATTATTTAGATTTTTTTCTTTCAAATAGAATGTGTCATCTAAATGACTGTATGTTGCTAACCTCATATTTTATGATTTACTTTGGTAAAGGAAGTCCAAGATCACATGAATAGTGATCAAATAAGTGCACAAACTTCATGTATGCAAGCATAGAAGGTTTTTTTAAAAGTATTTTACTCTGTTGCTTTTTTTTTTTAATGAAGTTATGAATTTCAGAAACTTTGCTATTACAGGCAGCATCAATTGCAGATGAATCTGCAGAATCAGAAGGGATAGTTGATTCTCAAAAGCGTAGGGAAATACTTTCAAGAAGGCCTTCATACCGGTAAGGAATTTTAATTTGAATTTTTAAAGGCAGCTTGTATATTACAGCAAAACTGTCTGATAAAAGCCTTATTTTTCTCATGGATATGGAATTTATATGTATAAAATTATCTTCTTTTTTCTTTTTAGAAAAATTTTGAATGAACTCTCATCAGATGCTCCTGCAATACCAAAGATTGAAGAAGAAAAGTCAGATGATGAAGGAGTGCCTTCTGGAATTCCTGCAATGGCCATGCCAGCCGGCCTGTATCACTCTAACACAGGGCAATACAGTATGTTTCCAAAGATTCTATGTGAAGTTGCAGAACATATGTAGGAACAACTTTGTTTCTAAGAGTTCCATAATGAAGTGTAGATGTTGGATTTTGGTGAAAAAGAATCAGAGCTTCTGTATTTCTAAATAATTTTGGGGTTTTTTATTTATTTTTTCTTAACGTGGTTATTATAAACTTTCAGTCTGTTTCTTGTAAAGTTTGTTGGTTGCTAGATTTTGTCCTTCTAGAACTCCTATGCATTAAAAATGTGGAGATGAGGCTCACGTGAAATGAAAAATATTGGCACTTTTGTGTGAATATTCAGTGCTGTAAATGATTGTGGTTTCCAATGGCTGTAATTTATTTTTTATTAGTGCTATTCATTACATGAAATGACAGTGAGTTAAACTATTGTGAAGTCTAAGGCTGGAGTATGAAATTATTTCTTAACTTTGACTTTGTTTCTTAAAAGAACTATGTCTCTTCCTGTCCACTTGTCAAGTATGAACACTAACTGCAGAATTAACTTAAACCGTGTTCTCCAACATTTGGTACTTCATCCAAATTCAAGTTAAAAGTTAGATTCACAGTTCTGTTCTGTGGATTCATTGCTTCTTTTTTTAATTCTCATATTTAAAAATGTTGGATAACTCTCTCACAGCTTCTTTGGGCTTCATCAGATATTATCCAAGGGAAAACTTTCTAATACCTCTTTTTTCAATTATGTATTAAACAAAACTTCGATTGTACAGGGTTTTTGTTGGGGGTTTTGGGTTTTTTTTTTTGTTTGGGTTTTGGTGTGTTTTTTTTCTTTCTCTCCCCCCCCCCCCAAAAAAAAAACAAGAGAACAGAGGAAATGTATTAAAACATTGCAGTAGTATATAAAAGAGGCTGGAATGGCTTATCACCCCTACAATTGCTCAGTTATTTAATTCATGCAACTTACCAACTCTAAGAAAGCAGAATTTCCCTATCTACCTCTTCAGCATAGAAAGTAATTTTTCTTGAGTTCCTAAGCTGCTTTTCTTACCTTTTCTGTAACCTATAGACCTAAATAGGTGTCTGCTTCATGCTGTTCAGCATCTTAAGTGCTCTCTTCAGTGGACTTGTGGTCATGCTAAATTGCAGTTATCTGGTACAGAATGTGACACGTATTCTTGACCAAATTACTCTTCAAGTTTTGAATTATATTTTTAGTTTGGCTTAGGTTTAGTTAAAAATATATTTGCAGTTTCAAGGCTTAAAAAGAAATGCTGTACTGTCTGTACTATGTTCTAGTGAGCCTTCAAACCTGAGGGATTTGTAAGAAATTAGAGTTTAGCGTTTTTAATTGTAATTTCCTCTAGGAAACAAGAATTGTACTTATACTAGGAATGTCATGCAGGAGGTGATTCTTAATTAAAGATGTTTCAATTCGTGCATAGCTATAAATCACAGTGGCAGGGAAGTGTATAAAAGAATAATGAAATTTATAGGTTTTGCTTTTTTGTTCAATCAGACATTAACTTTTGAAAACTCAAGCAACAGGGAACATCACCAACCATATGCTTAAATAAACAGTCCACAAACAATTGATTAAATGTCATTTATCATAATTTAAACTTTGCTTTTGCATGAACCAAGCATAGATTTCTGGTTTCTGCTGCTTTTCCTTGGAATAAATTATAAACATAGCCTAAAACATGTGCTGTGTATTTAAGGTAATTTAACTTGTTAAATAGGTTCTCATCCATAATGAGGCATTGCTTCAGGATGCAGTGTCAGCTTTTATAGACTCTCCTGATTCTGGCTCAAAACTTTTGAGAGCTCTGTCTTCAGGGAAATGTTTTTTCTTACCCAATTTATTGTTCATTATAATTTTTTTTCTTTTATTAGTTCAAATTTTAAAGTTAAAATCTCACACATCTTTTTCCTCCAGCAAATGTGTGCATTCTCCAGTTCTGGTTAGGAAAAATTGTTTCCAAGTGGTAGCTAGGATGGTCATCTCTTTGTAATGGAGGGGGTCTTAATCTGGAATTTACCAAAGAGCTTGACTGTTCACTTCTGGTCCTTAAATGTGTAAGGCACAGATCTACAGCATTTCTGAGTAGCCGTCCTATGATTCTCAGGAAATGTTGTTAGCTAAAGCCAGAACACTGTGTGGGAATGCAGCATTACCTGTGTTGATTTCAATCTGGATGTGGTTCAGATGGTCACTACATGTATCTGTTATCTTCATGTCTTCTGTCAATACCTCTTTACTTTTGCTTTTAATTATTGTATGAGTACTCGTCTCTTCTTGACTAGCATTAGTTGCATGGGTTTTCTTGTACAGGCATCCAGCAGTTCATGCATTAAGCTTGTAAAGTGTCCATGACAATGAAGAATTGGAGAGTTGGTCTTTCAGTGTCACTACAGCCATCTGTCCTGTGCCCTGGTTTCACACATCCCTTATGCTCCTTTATTTGCTCATTCCTTATTTTCTCTACTGTTCTCTCTATCTCTGCATAGGAAAGGCAGTTTAGTTGAAAAGCTAATTTTGACTGTATGTTGGTGTTTGGATGTCTATTTTTGGAAGATGTTGATAGGTAAATTTTTCTGAAAAACAAATACATTTTTTTTCTGTTAACAGCAGTGATGGCTGTTCTTTGCTTACTTTTTGCCAGCCAAAACAGTATGTTGCCATGGTTTCCAAGTATCTTTGTCCCCAGAGCTTCTTGGCTTTAGATTATGGAAGCAGAAAGACTGACAGGCATGACCACCTAGATAAAACGCCTCTCTGTTACCTTCATTAGCATATGAGTTATCTTTCTCTAAGGGAAATGGGTAGTTTGGCATGAGGCGGTGTCTTGTGTATGAGCCTTGTAGCCTTATCTGACTAGAAACCTATTGTGTTTGCTGTAGTTCTGTCATGTTAGTTATTGAATACTGACAAAACACAGGTGTTTTGCCTCACCTGTGGTGGTAGCCTAACCATGCAAAAGATGTTGGAGCCTGTATGCAGGATTTCCGACATCACATGTTCCCCATTATTAAGGTAGGACTCAAGGTCCTTGCTGACCCTTTTTCTGTATTGCAAATAGGGCTCTGCTTGCTCCACTATGAGAGGAATTCCCCATGTTTTCCAAAAAGAAGTTAATTTAGATGCTGGGATTTGGCAATTTCGATAGATTACTACACTCTCAAAATATTAGCTGAGCTTCTAATAGTTAATGTTGTCTAATTTACTAATAACAGTTTACTAATCAACTGTTAGTATTTCCAGTGCTCTTCGAAGTGTTATCTATGTTTCACTTTCAAGATAACTTACTCTTGTCAAGACAGATCTTTTGAAATTAACTATCTCCAAAACTTACATGGGTGTGTAATGAATCATGCATTCACATAACCAAAGCTGAACCTTCAAGAAAGTTAGCCAGTGCTGTGAATCTGAAAGTGAAATCAGGAGCTGGCAATCCTGGATCTATACTTATATATGACTTTTGTACTATCTCAGACCACTTTAAGTACAATGACAATTATTGTAGTTCAAAAATACCTTTCTGGGGGAGAAAGTTTGTTACTTCTTGAGAATTGGTTCTCATCTAAAAGTTCTAAGACTATTTTAATTAATGTAAGAAGCATGAATTTGACAGGTGGACCACTTGGTGGATAAGGAATTGGCTGGGTGGTCACATTGAAAGAGTTGCGTTCAGTGGCTCGACGTGTAGGTGGAGACCAATGATGAGTACTGTTCCTCAGAGGTCTGTACTAGGACCAGTATTATTTAACATCTTTGTTGAGGACATATACAGATATTGAGTGCACCCTCATCAGATTTGCTGATGACACCAAGATCTGTGGTGTGGAGGACATGCTGGAGGGAAGGGATGCCATACAGAGGGATCTTGAGAGGTGGGCCCATGCAAACCTCATGAAGTTCAGCAAGGCCAAATGTAAAGTCCTGGCCCAGGGGTCAGGGCAATCCCAAACATGGATACAGGCTGGGTGATAAGAGGATTGAGAGCAACCCTATGGAGAAGGATTTGGTGGTACTAGTGGATGAAAAACTAAATATGAGCTGGCAATATGTACTTGAAGCCCAGACAATCAGTTGCATCCTGGGCTGCATCAAAAGAAGTATGACCAGCAGGTCAAGGGAGGTGATTCTTCACCTCTCATGTAACTCCACCAGGAGTACTACGTTTAGCTCTGGGGCCCTCACTGTGAGACAGACATGAACCTGCGTGATAGGGCCCAGAGGAGTGCCATGATCAGAGGCTTGGAATATCTCCCTTATGAACCTTATCACGCTGAGAGAGCTGGAGTTTTTTAGCGTGAAGAAGAGAAGGCTTCAGGGAGACCTTATGGCATTCTTCCAGTACTTAGAGGCAGCATACAAGAAAAATGGGGAGGGACTCTTATCAGGGAGTATAGTTATAGCATGAGGGATAATGGCTTTAAGCTGAAAAAGTATAGATTTACATTAGATATTAGGAAGAAATACTTTACTGTGAGAGTGGTGAGACACTGGAACAGGTTTCCCAGAGAAGCTGTAAATGCCCCATCCCTGGCAGTGTTCAAGGCCAGGCTGGATGGCGCTTTGAGCAGCCTGGTCTAGTGGAACGTGTCCGTGCTTGTACAGGGGGGTTAAAACTAGATGATCTTAAGGTTCCTTCCAACCCAAACCATTCTATGATATTTCTGTTCTTAAGAAGGACAATGCCAATTTCAAAGTGAATATACAATTAATAACCTATGTAGGGAATTTTTTTGTCTTAAATATTTAATTATAATGAGCAACAAAGTATGATTTTATTTGTTTTTAATGGGGAAGGTATATTTATATCTTTCATATTGCTGACTATATGGGGGGGAAATCACAAACTTTGTTTTGTTTTTATATAAGTATTGAACTCTTTGCAGCTTGGAAAAACATTGTTGGGCTAGAGTTACTCTCACACTAAGCAAAGGATTGTGAACATCAGATCTAGTTAGCTCTTTGCCTAGATGCTCTTCCTTTGTCCTGGGTTTTGTTTTGTGGGTGTTGCTAAACATAGTTGTTAAATTTTTTTCTTCTTTAATAACTTTCAGTTTTGTGTTTATATGCCTATAAGTTACTATTTTTATTTTTTTTTCTTGTATTAAAACTGTTTTAGGAGGGTTAATACTTCTGGAAGTGTAGAGGTAAAATGTGTGGAACACGGCTTTTTATCTGTTACACACATGGCATGTACTACATTACAGACTTGATATTTGTGGAAAGCAGTATTAACGTTGTGCAAGTTGTACTGTACAATTGATTTTAAGCAAGGAGAGAAGCCGGAGTCCTATCAGACAGTGTTTATTTTAAAGAGAAAGATGTGCTTTTTAATGTTTAGGTAATATCTCTTTCTGTTGCTTAACTTCTGCTTTTTATCTTTAGTTACTATAACTCAAGGTGGTGCAATCCAGATTTCTAATCCAGCCTCTGATGGTGTCCATGGACTACAGACATTAGGAATGACAAATTCGGGAGCTCCTCAGCCAGGTGCTACCATTGTGCAATATGCAGGACAATCACCACATAGCACACAACAGTATTTTGTTCCAGGAAGCCAAGTTGTTGTTCAAGGTATGTTTTATTAGGCTATTGCATTTTAGGGTTTTTTTATGCAAACCAGTTTTTTCTTAAAAGGCTTTTTATTTTGTGTTGACATTATACCTGTGTAACAAAATGAAAGGCAGCCTTAGAAGGAGACTCAGTTTCTCTGTTTAGTAAAGCAGCTACTTCTGATTAAAAAGTTTTATCAGGAGGAAATAACAGCATAAAATAACTTTCTACTTTGAGTTCTTGTGTCCAGAGTTGGAGAGAGATGTTTAATTGCAGTAAAGGCACTGTTACAGGTCGAAATGAGATGCTGAGGATGCATCTTATTTGATAATATGAAACTAATTTGGGTTTTTTTTTTCAGCATTTAATCAACCTGAAGTTCTTTGGATATGTTTAAGGCAGAATTTCCTTGCAATTTACGACTCTTAGTAGAAAGGAGATCTTTTACTGAATCCAGTTTTCTCACAGCAGAACACTTTGTAGGTCCTATAACATGCACACATGCAAAATGAACTGTGAATAGTGAATTCTGGAACCTTACTTTCCCAGCCTTTTGGAAATGCTGAGAGAGACTGAGAACCAAAGGTATCTTGGATTCTTACCAATACCAAGGAAAGTAGGGTTGGTATCTGGGTTATGCTGAGGAAAACCTTTGAAAATGTGGAAGAGATTTCTGTACAGAGACGCTAAATGAATGGCTTCCATGGATAATACAGGGAATTTATTTTCCCTGTTTTTTTTTTTTTAATGGGTACAGAGATGTGGGGAGGGCTGTATGAATGCTTTCTTAAGCCAGAACAGCTATCTGAAATAAACCATGAAAAGAGCTAGTAAGGCTTTAAATATGTTCATGGGGCTGATGAGGTATCTGAGATAGTTGGTGAAGTCCAGATTGAGGTGCCATTTTTGCCCTAATATGGATATTTGAAATAAGCTCTGTCTATGTCTGTTTCTCTCCCTTTTCTGTAAAGGAAGTCCAGGATGTAAATAAAGCTAATAGTTTGTAGATACCTGAACTTGTTGAGGCAATGCTAAATAATGATACCAAATTTTAATTCTTCTGTTGCCTCTGGTTAATTCTTCACGGAAATACACTGTCTTCCCAAAACATTGCAGAAGCATTTCAAGGGAGTTTTGGGACTGTAATATATTAAAAAAAAAAAAAAAAAATCTTGGCCAAAATGTTAGTTTTCAACATGCAGAGAGTACTGTTATACCTTTCTTAAATATTATTATGAATACATATTTAGGGAAGCCTTAAGATCCACATTTGGCTGTCCCACAAACAAATTTCCCACTTTGGCAGTTAATGTTTTCTGAGTATGAGTAACATGTTTTCTATATGTGCATAAACATCCCTTAAATTAGAGGACTTTGTCTTTCCAGGTTGACTGTAGTGTTTGTATATACTGCTTTGAGTCTTCAGAGCTTCAGGGGTGGAGCGTGGGTGGGGCAGAATGAGCAGCTCCTCAGTTGCTTCCTTGAATCTCCCCAGTCTGCGAAGCAGCACAGAATTTAGGGATTATATCTGGCAGCATTTCAGTTCTTGGGAATTTCATTTGACTCTCCTTCCTTTACAGACTATTTGTTGCAGGGTTGTCTTTAGACAGGGCTGTCCTCTAACCTCCCTAGTAAGTCTCAGTGATGGGCTCTACTGATAGTGTAGCCCATCAAGTGTCTTGCCTGTGATGAAAACTTCCAAAATGGATTCAGAGACAGTTACTGAATACTTGCTATATCCTGTTTCTGGAAGCTTCTACATACTTTTAACTAAATTGATCTGTTCTCTGTACATGCTCAGAGAAGCTGACTTGTTGCAATTCTCTCTTCCGTTGGCCCAAGCAAAATGCTTTAATGATGCTCATAGCTGTTGACACACAAGAAAAATGGTGTATAATATATAAAGGGAAATACAAAGGGAATAGTAAGTGACCAGGAACTCAGGGATGATGAGAAGGTAAAAGGTTTCACCTTAGTATATACACTGTTGATACCAGAAAGTCTTTTAAAAAATATCTTTAATTAAAAAACTACATAAAAAGAGTATGAAAGCACCTGAGGATGTTTATGGTAATACAGATTTCTTTTCGATAATAATTGTGTGTCATCAACAAACCTGAGTTATTTAGGATGGAGTGAGACAATGGATTTAGTTTGATACATACGTCTCTAATATGTGTTTATCTTGCCCATGCTAGAAAGTCTGTAGTCCATTTGTCACTTATGTACACTTTGTACTTGACTCTTTTCCTGGTACTATGCTATTAGGTGACTATAATGGGAAAATATTATAATAGGAAAGAAACATTCTGCTTGGTAATATTCCCACTTACATATATTATTATAATGATTCTAGGTATATAAATTTTAACTGTCATGAAAGTAAAACCCCAAACAAATCAAAACCAAGCAACTAAAACAAACAAACTGTGCAAAAAAACAAGCAACAACAAAAATCCCAAACAAAACCAACAATAACAAAGTCACACAAACACCCCTCGAGACAACCCCCTTCCCCCAATATCCTAGGCAACCCCCCTGAATATAGTAGGGCAGGAAAGATCTGTTTAAGATATTGTGTGTATTTATATTTTTTCTAAAGTATTTATTGATGAATCTCATGTGCAGTAATCACATAAACCCTGTGTTTGATATTTTTTCATAACCTCTGATGGGGAAAATGAGTTAGTATAAAAGCACTAAAGTTGTTGATCCACTGAGTGATACTCCATTTGCTCCAAGTTTACATTCACAGGCAATATCAGAGGCAGTTCTTATGTCCTGACAGTTTTCTGTTACATTTTAAGGTTGGTTTGTTTGTTGTTTTTTTTTTGCTTGTTGAAGCAGAAGAGTTTAATTACTAGTGAGAATGTGTGTAAAAAAAAAAAAAAAAAAGTCTCAAAAATCATTCTGTTGGGATCTACGTGTGTTTTATGATGTGTTCAGTGATATGAACAGTGGTGTTTGACATCTGAGGCTTGTATTTCTTGCGTGCTTCAGTTCTGATCTTGTGTTTATCTGATCCTGAAGTAGTCCTGTAATCATAGGGTGCTCCTTTTTTGCACTGATGCTTCCATTATTTCTGTCCTTGGCATAGTTTCATAGCTGATGAATTACCGCTCTGAATTTATTTCAAAGGCCTTAGAAGTTTGCTATGCCCTACATACAGACCAGAGCCTGGGCTATTGGTCTGAAACAGGTTTCATTTAAATTGGTGTAAATATAGAGTAATTCTGTTACAGCTGAGTTTTTGATTTTTTTATTTTTATTAATTAAAAAAACCCTAAGTCAACCAGATCTCCTGGACTTCATTTGAAAAGGAGGGAATGGGGGAGAGGTAGCCCTTACCCAGAATTACTGTTACACTGGAATCACTAGCTTTAGGTTGACTGACTTTGTTGGAGCTTTTTTCTACCTTTTCTGAAGCTTTTAACTTAAATGAGTGGGTTGTGGTTCCCCCCCCTCCCCCTCCCCCCAAGCAAGGAGTTTCAGCCTTTCGTTTACTTATTGTTACATCTTACTAAGCTTTCCTGTCTTGCATGTCTCTCTGGCAGAGGTTTTAGTAGAGCTGCAGCCTTTAGTAAAAGGCAGCCTTTTAGTAGAACTGCTTCAATCAAAACGATTGCATGTCTTTTTAAAATTTCACTGTCTTCTATCCGATCATGACTTTAATTTGGATTCATTTGTAAATGCTAGAGCCATCTTTTAACTTCTGTCAGTCGGTGCTGTGAATTTTCAGGTCTTGCTTTATAGGCAGCTTTGTGGTGAGTGCTTTCTCTAGCTTTGTGAATAATTCAGGGGAAAAGAACAGAGCTAGGCTTACAGAAATGTGGAAGAAGGAGGGGAAAAAAAAAAAAGGCTTACTGGAAAAGGAGTTCTTTGGGCTGCAGTTTCAGCGAGCTGTTCCAGTGACAGAGCATATTAATGACAATGGTAAGCAAGTGAGGTCATTGTGATGTCAGTGCTCTTGCTTGTAATCCCGCACATGCTGGCTAGTTTGGAACACTTCATGCTGAGCTCTGGTAGAGGAACAGGAGAATCGTGTGTGCAGACGCTGAGCATGGCTGTAACAGGAGATGAAACAGGTAAAAATTTTGCTAATCTTTTCCATTATCTTTTTGGCTGTCTAAGCAGTGCTTAGTTGGTATTTGTGACATTTTCTTTAGAACCTGTTTCTATAACTCTTTCGTTTTTCAGACTGCACAAATAGCTTCTGATTATATGTAGTTAGTGTAGGATTTCAGGGCAATTTTAACAGTTTTGTTTGGGAGGGAAGCAAATCATAGTTAGTACATGAGTTCTTGCACAGATTGATTCAAACAACTAATCTTTACTATTAGATGCAGGATTTTGCTGAGAAATCCACCACTTAAATTCATTTTATTGTGGAGATGGTCATATGTGTTACCACGCTTATAACTGTTTTTTATTTTATACAAATGACAGTGCTTTTTGTTTAGTAATAAACTCTTAAGCCTATTTCAGCTCTAAAATCTTAAGCAGAGCTGAGAGAGAAACAGTGTGAAGTTTCAGTACTGTAAATAAGCCCTGTGCTTTCATTATTAAAGAAAATGCTGAATGCAAACAAATTTGAGAGTGATAAATTTTAAGTATTACAGTGCCTGCTTGTTGTCTCCTCCACTGTTAAAATGGTCTGTTCCTCAGCTAATTGAGTTCAAAAGGCTGACGTCATTAGATTTCCTGGAATCGTGTTGAAGTAGGGAACTGGAAAAGTTAAACTCCAAACAAGATACACATTGACGTCAGCTCCAAGTCACGCTGTGATTTAGTCAGTTCCTTTCTGCTTCGTCAATTGCCTCTGGCAGATCTGTAATATTAACTGATTCGCAGCCGGGACCTACGTGCTGCTGCTCATTGCTGCTACCTACTGTTTCATTAATCTAAAGATAAGCATCTTCTCCAAGTCGATGTTTTGGTTTTTCATGCTCAAAGAGATAATGATTCATGCCTTGTTGAGCCAGTTTAGTGGTGAAGTTGAAAACCCTTTGATAATCTAGTTCCATTATTATGATTTACAGAAGAATAGAGGCACTAATACATGGCATGCATCGGGCTTTTTTTCTCCTGGATAGTTACTGAAAGAACTTAAGTGCTGGGATGCTCTCTAGTGTTCAGCATATTACTTTTTTCAAGGTCCTGCTGATATGAGGTAGTTGATTTAAAAAACAGTGAATTTTAGTTTTTGTTAATTTCTCAGAGCTGCATTTACACACTTTTTCAAATGAGGTTTGTTTGGTTTTGTTTGTTCGCTTGTCTTCCTATTAATAATTTTCTTTATGTAAGTCTCAACTCAAAAGCTTCAGGTTTGCAGTGGCTTCTTACTCCCTTGCAATTTTAAGGAGGCGAAAAAAAATTAAAAATTACCTGGAGCAATGTGTTAGGGAATACACCATCTCCAGGTTTGTTGCTTAGCTTTGTTTCAGTCCCATGTATGGTATGTCAGGAATTACTTTAACTCTCCATGGATCTTTGTTGGAAATAGTCACAGAGGTTTGTCAGTGGGATTTTTGTCTCAAATGCTGAAGTGGAAGGTACCCTTCCCTGTGATATGCAGATACATTACTAGACATAAACCATGATTTTATCTTTTTTTCAAGGGTATCTTACAGCACCACCACCACCACCACATACCCCTCATCTCCTGCTTAAAGCCTGTTTCAACTTTCCCCACGACTTTTTCTTGGAGGAAAGAGTATTTTATTGTATTTTCTGGAGATATTATACAGAAAAATTGCAGACTTTGAAATAATTGATTTGCAATAATGTGTGGGTTTATAAGGTCTGTGCACCAAAAAGGTTATTTATCTCTGTTACCATGTTGTTAGATTCATAAATGAGTCAACTGTTAGGAAGGCACAGACACTGCTGGAACCTGCTCAAACTATTCATGCAATGTGTTGCTTAGTGGTGTTTGCTGATCCCAGCTGAGATAGGGAGTCACTTTTGTTAAGTGTTGTTGCAGGTACATGATCATAGTGAGTCTTCTCCGGGCTGAGTGCAACAGCAGCAGTAAGTCCTATTAGCTAATATCTGACTGTAAATCAAAGACAAAAAAATAGTTGGTCTTGCCAGGCTGAGATGACCTGGGTTATGGGCCTTTCGTCATTACTTGATCTACAAAATGCTTCACCTGGACTTCTGATTCATTGTAGCTACTGCAAACCAAGATAACATCTCTTTTTTTAGATAGTAATGATAAAAAAAGATAGTTCTTACCATAAGGTCTGTAAAATGTATGTAATATGGCCAGCATAAAGGTGAGCCTGAAGGATTTATAAAATTTCATTTTAAAAATAGTGCTAAGAGATGTGGAGAACTTAAAGAAAGAATTAATTTTCTTCTATATGTACAAGGCCACCAAGCCTTGTGTTCAGGGTGGCTGCCTGTTCAGTGCTCACAAGGCTGTCCTGAGCTGATTTCTCTCTCCCTCCCCCATCCCTAGGGGATTATCTGTAACCCAGGCCAGTTCACTGGTCCTGTTCATCTTGTAATTCCACAAACACTTTTACCAGCAGGATGGAGAAAGGGGGGAGGTGTAAAGTGTAAGCTGATAGTGATTTCAGGACATGGCTATGGAATTGTAGTCTAAACACAGCTTGAGCCTATTTTTTGTATTTAATTAGTGAAGCACCTGCATTAACTTAATAAGAATGATAGTAATTATTTTTTTTTTGTTTAGGTTTATTCCCTCCCTGTAGTTGACTGATTTCTCTTTACTCCTGTATCTGTCAGCCTCCCCAAGGTGTTTTTGTCTACATTTTGTTTTTCCAAGTTGTCCAGGTTTTGGCTGGAATAGAGTTAATTTTCTTCATAGCAGCTGATACAGTGCTGTGTTTTGGATTCAGGATAAGAATAATGTTGATAACACACTGATGTTTTAGTTGCTGGGCAGTGCTTACACTAAATCAAGGACTTTTCAGCTTCTAATGCTGCCCTGCTAGTCAGGAGGCTCGGGGGGAACACAAGAAGCTGCGAGAGAACACAGCTGGGACAGCTGACCCCAACTGACCAAAGGAATGTTCCATACCATATGGCATCATGCTCAGTATATAAACTGGGGGGAAGGCTGGCTGGGGGCTGCTGTTCAGGAGCTGGCTGGGTATCAGTCAGTTGGTGGTGAGCAATTGTTATTCATTTGCATCACTTGTTTGTCTTGTGTTTTACTTCTTTTTGCTATTTTCCTGTTCATTACAATTCTTTTTCTTATTATCATTATTCTTTTTATTATATTTCAATTATTAAACTGTTTTCATCTCAACCCACACATTTTCTTACTTCTACCCTTTTGGTTCTATTCATCCCACTGGGAGGAAGGGGAAGAAAGCAGGTGGCTCTGTGGCGCTTAGTTGCGGGCTGGAGTTAAACTGCGACACCAGTTTTTTTCCATTATCTAAATATTGCTTTAAAGAATTAAAGTATAAATGAATTCTAACATAAAAGCCTCTGAAATTTAATGTATTATGTTCAGTCGCTTTAATGACAAAATTTGGAGTTTGGTGTGTGATAATATAAAATATTTATGGAAGGGAATAGGTAAATGCTTGCTTGTCATTTGAAAAGAGATACTTTTTTTTTTTTTCCCTTCCCTGTGACAGACAAGACACAGTATTTAGGACTTTAACAGTATTTTAAAGTTGGGGTACATCATGTAGGAATGAAGTACCTCAGAAATACAGAAATGAGGGAGACCATCAGGAAGGTATTGGCTCCAAATAACAGGTCAGATTTGAGATCTGTGTTTGGCTTGGGGAGAGCTCAAAACTGGTAGTAGGCTCAGGAGCTGAATATGAACTTTTGCACTCCAGCTTACTGTGTAACTATACCCCTTCCTGTGAAGCAGCCACTACTGTCTCTTGCCTGCTAATTCTGCAGCATCCTATTTGTGGTCCTTTTTCTCAAAGAGCATATCCCAGTTCACTGTGAGCACTTGGCTGTTCATTTTCATTCTGGCAACAGCAGCTCTCACTTGTTTTCCAAAGGTTTCCATGCTGCTGCTCTAAATGGAGGAAAGGCAGTAAGGCTGGTACTGTTGCTATCCCAGGGAAAGAGGAGAAAGTTGACTTCTGAAGCTTCTGTTGGAGGACAAAGGGTGACATATAAATTTCAGTGGCTGCAACAGCAGAACCATACTTTTGTGGGATTGTGTGAACAGGAAATAAGTATGGACACTCTGTCAGTGTTTTTCAAGCAGCTTTCCCTGTCTTGTCTGAAAAGAGCTGTGTGGAAGCTTTCACAGGCTTTAGTCTGGCTGACTAGTGGGACCATGTGCTACAGCAGTTTAGATAACTTATAGTGTGGAAATAAATGCTAGAAAAATAACAAACGCAGCTGTGACATGACAAGCCTATGAAATATTTTGTGTAGCAGGGATCCTGGAGAACTCATCAACAGAAATCTGTTGTTCTGTGACTTTTGTGTAGTTTGTTGGTTTTTTTTTTCCATAAATTTTAAAATATTCTTTTATACAGCTGCCACTGGAGACATGCCAGCTTACCAGATTCGAACTCCCACTACTACCTTACCTCAGGGAGTGGTAATGGCAGCCTCACCGGGGACTTTGCATAGCCCTCAGCAACTGGCAGAAGAGGCAACTCGCAAGAGAGAGCTGAGACTTATGAAAAATAGGTAAGACTGTATCACAATTAATAGTCAGTGTTGCAAAAGAACCTCAACCCCAAAACATTCTAGTGAAACTTTCTTCTTAAGGTCATGAGCTCTGCCTGTGAGTGATAAAGTGAAGGCAAGAAATTGTCAGTCATCCCACATCCTTATAGCACTGTGTATTGGCTGTTAACTCTTGGAAAACTAGAGTTGACCTTATCACCATGGATTTTTAGTTGAAAATATTCTAGAAATTCAGAAATCGGTATTACTGTTGTCCCTTTCTGGTAATTTTTGTGATGATCTGGAGGTGTACTTGGTGTTGAATTCCCCCCTGATCCACCAACAGTGAAATGACCAGTATGGGTTTGTTCATCTTGAAACATCCCAGCAAAGAACTGGTTAGAAAAATATCTGAGGATCTCATTAGCAGTTGGCCATTAATGATGCTCTGAAGAGGACTTATTCTAGGGTGGAATGATAATTATAGGCTTTCCAAAATAATTGGCTACTGGGATAAGTTACTGTGCAGTGCCTCTGTCATTTTGTGAGGCATATTGTATGAGGTGGCTGTATTTTTTTTAATTAGTTGGCATGGGCTTGACTGTGTGCTGTAACTGCCAATCGTTCTCTGTGCTTTCTTCTTGCCGTTTTTAGGGGACTCTCCTTTTTTTAAATGCATAGCTACTGCAATCAGTGGCAGTTAGATTAGTGGAAGAAATAGTCTGCCATGCAGATCTCTAATGCATTGAATAGCCACTTGCTTTATGATTAAATTATGGTATTGCTTTGCTCTCATGCCTGTCCTTTATTTTAAATTACCCATGAAGATCGCTGCATTGTGCTTCCTTGTGTTTCTCCTCTTTTCAGTTTTATTACTAGATCCATCCTCTCTCTCGTATAACTTGCTGGAAACTTACTCTCATTATTTGACGCTTTATCATGTTCCAAGATCTTAAAGGAGCAAGCTCCCAGTACTTCTAAAATTTATTCTGGAATTGAATGCCTGTTCAGTCACATGCTTCTGAAAATACTGCCCAAAGTGTTCAGCTTCAATATAACAGAATTCTTAGCAGAGCTATGAGAATGGCTCCATGCTGCCATTTGCCAGCAGCAAAAACACAGACATCGCTGATGCATGTGGTTGAAATGTGCCCAGGTGGACAGCTCTAAAATGCTAGTAAATTGTACTTGTTTGGACTTAAATTTTGCCGTAGATTGTTACATTAAGGTAAAGAAATGACAGCAGGTTGTAAGCTTGGCATTTAGCTTTTTGTCTGAAGAGAGTAGTGTTATGCTTGTATTTTCTGAAAGTATATTCTTTGGTTTGATTTTAAGATTCTGATTGCAGAAGACAGTACCGATAAACACACAAAATGGAATGTGACTGGAAGAAGAAACGCTGCTTTCAGTCTTCATGTTTAGTACAATTCAAGTCAATACACTGTCATTTGCTCACTGTTTTGCTTGGTTCTTCTGTGTATCAATTCCATCTTTGTATTTGTTGATGATGACTTTTTTTCAAGTTCTAGTTTTTTGGAATTGTATTTTAACTGTGTTATTGCTTATGGCTGTTACCTGCTGTTCTGTTTGTGCAATCCAACAGTTGTTGTTGGTGGTGGTTTTTGTTGTTGTTGAAGAGCATGGATTGCAGGTAATTTCATTTATCCAGTCTTTGCCATATTGTGGCTGTTCCTGTAGTCATTTGCCTTGTATTGGTTCCAGGGAAGCTGCCAGAGAATGCCGCAGAAAGAAGAAAGAATATGTCAAATGTCTTGAAAATCGTGTGGCTGTGCTTGAAAACCAAAACAAGACTCTCATTGAGGAACTCAAGGCCCTCAAAGATCTTTATTGTCATAAAGCAGAATAACTGTCTTTCATTTGGACCTCGTTTATTATGAACTTTAGTCAAGGCATGAGAGGAAGCAATTCTACAGATTGCCATATGAACTTGAGAGACACTTGAGGCCCTTGTGGAACCCAGTTTTGCTTAGTGTTTTCAGAGTGATTTGGGAGAAATTCCAAAATTTGGAGTTCTGATGTAGTGTCCGTAATCTGCTGAGCTTTCTAATGGCATGCAAATGGCTTTTTTGTTTGCACTTTTTACTTCTGCTTTTTGCAGGGAAGCTGCTAAAGAATGTCGACGTCGAAAGAAAGAATACATAAAACGTCTGGAGAATCGTGTTGCAATGCTAGAAGATGAGAACAAGAAACTTATGAGGGAGCTTAAATCCCTAAAAGACACTTGCTCTTCCAAAACAGATTAGTAAACATATTTATTAAACTGTGAACTGACTAAAATATGACCAGTTGCTTTATAAGATAATACATAGCCAACATGAATTATGGCTTTCTTTTTGTGTCATTTATATTATATTCCAACTCCTAACATTCCTGAATGCTTTCCTGCTTTTTGTCAATTCATAGCTCTAATTTCAGGTTTTTCATGTTCCTCCTTTCCATCTCCCAAGGAGCCAAATGTTGAAGAAATGTAAGAAAGTAAAAAAGCGCATAATTTTTAAGAGCTGTTTTTTTGCCATATATTTACATACTACTTTTTACGTGTTAACTGAGTGACCTGCACATAAAAAATATTGTACAATTATTTTAGATGATTCGTGAAGATAACGCATCCAGTAATACAAAGAAAATCAAACAACCCACGGTATCTCAGGAAAGAGTTTATAAAAGAATGTTATGATTACATATATGTACTAGCATACTAGTCTACAGATGATTTTATGGCATATTTTTATATTAGTTGCTTTGTGGAAAAAGTATTGTATTGCTGTCACTGAGTGCCATGGTTAAAGATAGTTTTTAATAGAACCATGTTGTTTAACCTGTGTAGTGTCTGATTTCCTTTAAAGACTTGGTTATTGAAGATACTTTAAAAACCCATGAGTATCCGGAAGAGGTTAAAGGAAAGGAGTATACCTGATCTCACTGGCATGATGTTAAGTATAGTGTAAATACCTAAAAGAAGCTGTCTGTTGTAGGGCTGCTATTTACTTAAATTTCTTTTAGTATGTAGGCTGTTTGATTTGTTAGGGTCTGAATATCAAAATTCAGTATTGAACTCTTAAGTACTTTATATTCTAGATTCTGGCCAGTTGTAGACAGTTGCCTATAGCAAAGGCTTGATGGTATAGTTCTTTTTACACTTTCTGCAAAATGTTGAGAGGAAGTAAAGATGACTGAAAGAGGAAGGCTTTCTAATAAACAGTAACTATCTGCTGATTCATGGGGTTCCATGGGGTGCCTGTAGGTGAGAGCTGAAGATCTTTAAAATAAACCCTTGCTTAAACCAAATTACAGTTCTGGTGAATGAAATACATGCCAACTTTCCATTGTGCTTTGAAAGAAAATAGTGCTTATGCAGAATTGCTTCTGGGTATTCCTTTAATTCAGGAGTGATCTAATTGTTTGTTGGCCAGTACAGTCTGTGAGCAAAGTATTTGGGAGCTTTGCTGGAATTAGCAGCATCATTCCCTTACTGATGTTGTAGGAAGAAAGGCTTAGTTCCTACTTAATCGGTTTCCGGGGGGGGGGAAGTATGTGTGTATGGAGTGGGGGGAGGGATGGGATCATATCACTGAAGTCACTGAGACTTCTTCACTTAATTTAAACTGAATTCACATTTAACCCAATCTTTACTCTGACACTGGTAGGATAGGGTGTGTGTATATATTTTGGTTTTTACTTTTTTTTTTAATTCTTATTTAATTTGTCTGTTTTGCTTTCCCAAATTACTTGAAATTGAATAATTTTCTCGAATCTTTTTGAAAATCCCACTAGGTACCTACAAGAGACCATTTGCAGGAAGAGGTGTTCTCTCTAACTTCCCACAGCCCCATCAGTTGATTTAGAAGGAAACTGACTGCCTTTTGGACCCACAGGCTCTGCTGCCGGTCTGGAACAAAAGTAAAGTCAACTCTGAAATATCTGCATCACTGTGAAAATACATCTTAAAGTCGGCAGAAGTCAAAGTTTCTGTTAAAGTTGGAGAAGTACAGTCTGCAGCCTCTAGACAGCAACAGGTGTCCAGCAAATTGTAGTGGCTCTGTCACCAGAATCTGTTGGTTTGTTTTTTTGTTACAGATAGGCATTGCACCTGACTCTCAAGGGATTTGGAAACTTAAGAGGAAGAAACTTGGGCATGTAGTGCATGTCTCCACAGTAAAAGTGTTTCTGTATCTTCACAACAGTATTTGGTACTAACTGTAGTTAGAAATTTTATAGGAGAAATCCTTGTCTATTCCACGTCTGTGTAGTCAACAGTCATTCCCTTGCTACTTCTTTTACAGAATTCGATTAATGTTTATTTTTTATTTAAATATTGAGTGTGGGTGGTGCTTTGTTAATAATGAGAGCTAACTGCTCTTGGTGCGTGTTTGGTCATTCTGGAAAACTCCCATTTGATCCATCTATCTACATGAGGGAAAAGTATCCTGCTTCAGAAAAGCCAACTGCACAGAACCTGGCTCATTTAGATGAGACTAGGGAGAAAAAAAAGTTTATGATGCACATAATTCTTCCATGCTCGGTAATTCAGTATTAATTTGACAGAATTAGCAGCAGACATTTCTGTAAAGTGAAAATGAGTTTGTTGGTGAGTAAGAACATTTAAGATTCAAGTCAGTAAATTAGAACAAAGATGTGTCTTGTGAAGGAAATAACTTACTTGAAAATGAGCAAAAGAAGATCTGCACGTATGCCAAGAAACCTGTTGTCAAATTGCTGCTGAAGAAATTACTACTTAAAACAACAAATCCAGTAGTGAGTTGGTTTGACAGATGTACATTGAAAACTTTGTGAGAGAATTCCCTGAGAGTAAAGGAAGATTAGAAGGAAAAGTCAGTGTACCACCAGGGTTTGTCAGAGAAATAATACCAAAATGCTTAAGTGAGATGGGACTGCAGGAGCCTGGGTCACTGTATATCAGTATATCAGAAGATTAAAGAAATAGGATATATGCTAGGATACACAAATTAATTTAGATTATAAAGGAAAATAAATCATACTAAGTCTTCCTTAGTTTTGTTTCCTCTTTTAAGGGTCAGTATAGCCCTCAAGTTTTAGATCGGTGTGTGACTCATTTCATTCAACATCAGTGTCATGTTTCTGAAGGTGTATCAGCACTGGAATCCAAAGTAGATGCATGTGCTATGAATGAAAATTTTCCTTTTGACTTGGTGTCCACTAAGCTTGCATTTGTGCATGTAAGTCCTGTGCTTGCTAATGCTCCTCTCGCAGGGCAGAAAAGGTGAAATTGTTGCTTCTTCATGAAGGAAACTGAAGTTTGACTGGGGGCTGAATCTGTAACTGCTAAAGCTCTTAGGAGGTGACACATATTTTATAAGCTGTGCTGCCTAACAGTCTGGGCAAAACTGCTTATGTTTGTATAATGGCACCCACTTTCTGGATACCAGGTCAAGAAAAGGTCAGTTTATATTGGTGGTATTGAACTTCTTAGAGTAAATCTTAATCTAAATCAGTTACTGTTATTTTTACTGAGGATATATTTTTATGGGAGAAACTGCTTTCTGAATGTGATCTGTCTCTTCACTTTGTGACCAGTTTTGGTTTACCAAAAGGCCAAACAATCTTGTTGCAGAGAATTACCATGTGGATCAGACGCTGAGCTCGAAGTATTTCCTTCAGTGACAATGGCTGGAAAAACTGTCCCTTTGACTTTACTCATGTCTCCTTCTTTGTGATATAGATATGATAGATCTATATTTCCTGTACTTCTATATGACAGATCTATATTTCCTATACTTCTATATCCTAGAAGTACTATCATCTAAAATTGTACAGTGCAAGTGTGCAAACTGTTGGTTTTTGTGCAAGGTTTGTGATCTGGCTGTCAATCACATACCCAAGGAAACGTTACCAGTGGCTGTTGTGGTTCAGGTGTGTACTGAGACTTGCCCTTTGTCCTCATTTTGCTACTTCAGTTCCCAGTCAAATCAGGCTCTGGGTTCAGTGTACTTTCCAAAGAACTTCTCAACCATAAGATCAAAACCCACCTTCTGTCTTGTTGCATGTGTGTGGTGTTTTAATGCCTTTTCCCACATTTTGATGCTGTTTCTGCTCTCAGAGGTTGCAGAGAATCTGCAAATAGCAGCTGAAGAGGTGTTCAGTCTTAATTATCTTACTCAATCACAGTCTCATTTGACAAGGCTGGGAAGCACCTACTTCTCTATTAAAAACATAGCTCTGAGCTCTGGATACCAGTATAATTTCCAGAGGAATCTGATTCCAGTTCATATTTGTGAAGCAGAGTCCCTGGTATGGTTCAGGAGAAAGGCCTTTTGAACACAGTATTATTCTTAATACAAAAACATTAAATGTATCTGAGTTTGTTTATTACAAAAGAATTTGAGCACTGCCCAAGCTTTGATTTATCAGAGCCAGGATTTTATTTTTTTTCAGTACCAGGAAAGAAAAGACTGACATTCTTGTGATTTTCATTCTGAAAGAAAACTGCATCCCTGCATTCTCCCTTGCTGAAGCCATGCAGCTGTTTGCAGATTTCTTTGTAATAGATAGCTGGAGGATCTGCTTTTACTTTACAGGAAGCTGTATCCAAGACTGCATGGATGTTGTTTTGTTTTTCAAATAGAATTTCACAGTGCTCAGGGGAAATGGTCTCTTGAAAAATGTCTTCAATGTCCTAGAGTTGTGGGTGATGAGGAATGTAATAGTCAGCTTCCTCTTAAGGTACAGCTTTGAGTCACAGCTGTTTTCTTCCCCGTCTAAATGGAGTGGGGAGCAGAGTTATTAAGATAAACCTCTAGGTTATCTGAGCCGAGCTGTCTGTTGACTGTGTTGAATAGCCTCAGCTGTTGTGGTCTGGAAAAAAGGGATTAAAATAAGTATATTGTGTGAGTAGGTGTGGGTTTGGGTTCTTTGGTGGTTTTTTGGTTAGTTGGTTGGTTTGGTTGTTGGGTTTTTTGGGGGAGTGGGAGGTGTGATTGTCACTTCCCATGGATTTTTCTGTTTGCAAGAATAATTGTAGCATTTTCTGCCTGCACTGATGCAGTCCTAAGGAGTGCAAGCTCTGTTGTGTCTCACTTGGTTCTCCAGGGTTTTCTTTTCCTTATCAAACATAATTGCTTATGTAGTACCATTACCCTGCAGACATCAGTGTAATAGCTAAATCCAGTGTGATCTTTTTCTGAATGAAGTATCACTTAAAAGAAAACAAAAGGATCTGCTCAGCTTCTGGTTTGGATTGACTCATTTTGCCCACTTTTCTGTTTAAAATCCACTTGGTGTTCATGTATGTGGGGGTGTACGACAGAAATGTATTGAATGCTGAGCAGTTCAGCAGCTGA